CACTTGGTGAAGAATGGATACATGGTAAGGTTCCAACATCAAACACATCAATGCAGCACTTGGTGAAGAATGGATACATGGTAAGGCTCCAACATCAAACACACCAATACAGCACTTGGTGAAGAATGGATACATGGTAAGGCTCCAACATCAAACACACCAATACAGCACTTGGTGAAGAATGGATACATGGTAAGGCTCCAACATCAAACACACCAGTACAGCACTTGGTGAAGAATGGATACATGGTAAGGTTCCAACATCAAACACATCAATGCAGCACTTGGTGAAGAATGGATACATGGTAAGGTTCCAACATCAAACACAGCAATACAGCACTTGGTGAAGAATGGATACATGGTAAGGCTCCAACATCAAACACATCAATACAGCACTTGGTGAAGAATGGATACATGGTAAGGCTCCAACATCAAACACACCAGTACAGCACTTGGTGAAGAATGGATACATGGTAAGGCTCCAACATCAATACAGCACTTGGTGAAGAATGGATACATGGTAAGGCTCCAACATCAAACACATCAATACAGCACTTGGTGAAGAATGGATACTTGGTAAGGCTCCAACATCAAACACACCAGTACAGCACTTGGTGAAGAATGGATACATGGTAAGGCTCCAACATCAAACACATCAATACAGCACTTGGTGAAGAATGGATACTTGGTAAGGCTCCAACATCAAACACATCAATACAGCACTTGGTGAAGAATGGATACATGGTAAGGCTCCAACATCAATACAGCACTTGGTGAAGAATGGATACGTGGTAAGGCTCCAACATCAAACACATCAATACAGCACTTGGTGAAGAATGGATACATGGTAAGGCTCCAACATCAAACACATCAATACAGCACTTGGTGAAGAATGGATACAGCACTTGGTGAAGAATGGATACATGGTAAGGCTCCAACATCAAACACACCAGTACAGCACTTGGTGAAGAATGGATACTTGGTAAGGCTCCAACATCAAACACATCAATACAGCACTTGGTGAAGAATGGATACTTGGTAAGGCTCCAACATCAATACAGCACTTGGTGAAGAATGGATACTTGGTAAGGCTCCAACATCAATACAGCACTTGGTGAAGAATGGATACGTGGTAAGGCTCCAACATCAAACACATCAATACAGCACTTGGTGAAGAATGGATACTTGGTAAGGCTCCAACATCAATACAGCACTTGGTGAAGAATGGATACTTGGTAAGGCTCCAACATCAATACAGCACTTGGTGAAGAATGGATACGTGGTTAGCTCCAACATCAAACACACCAGTACAGCACTTGGTGAAGAATGGATACTTGGTAAGGCTCCAACATCAATACAGCACTTGGTGAAGAATGGATACGTGGTAAGGCTCCAACATCAAACACATCAATACAGCACTTGGTGAAGAATGGATACATGGTAAGGCTCCAACATCAATACAGCACTTGGTGAAGAATGGATACGTGGTAAGGTTCCAACATCAAACACACCAGTACAGCACTTGGTGAAGAATGGATACGTGGTAAGGCTCCAACATCAAACACATCAATATGAACACATGACCACATTCAGTATAATGTTTCATAAAGATGAAACAAAATGACATTGTGTGCTTTTTTAACTATGGGATTTGATGTATGTTTCCAGTTGTCACTACATGTTCAAATATATTACGTACACGTTGATGGTTATTTCCCCGTGACAATCAGATGACCTCTCACGTGTTTTGTGACGTACGCGTGTGAAATGGTATGACAAGATATTCGTGCCCTTTGTCTCTTTGTGAGTATATATAATCACCTCAATCTGATCTTTCTGATTCATGAACGCATATTTTCGACAAATAAAATCACAGTAGAAGACATTTTAACACTTATGCGTATGTATTATGCTGTGTCTTCGACAATTTGGTTCACCCTTGTTTGCCGCAAAAATGTCATTTGTCCAATTAGCTAGAAAACCGAAACTGAACCCTCAGAATTTGGAAAGTGTCAGGCGGATTCTTAGTCATCTCATACTTCACATGATACTTTTCTCCCGAATATGAGTATATTTTGGGCAAACAAAGAATACATGGTACTCATCTTCAATTTCAAGTAAATCACAATTTGCAAAATTATATCCACAATATTGCCGTCACATGATTTTAATTTACGATATCCATTAATCTTTAAAACATATAATGACATTCTGAATTTACATAATCTTCTTCTTAAAGATTTATCACTTATGATGAACAGGTAGTACTCAGGTTGTAACACAGATTTAACACTTGCATCAAATGACAGATATTTGGATGAGAAAAATATTATTTTGCCAATCCTGATAAACGTTGTTGTAGATTATGTATACATAGATTTTCATTCACAACATCTTGGCAAAAATATACGAATGAGAAACCACAATCAAAAAATAAAGAGCGAATTTGAGAAACCCAGCTATGCTTACCACTCTCAACCATTGACTTAAGCATTATATAGCACTGGTATGGTTACCTAGAAGGACACATATGTAAAATTTGTATCCAGTATTTAACAGCTCGTATTTTACTGCTTACAAACATTGCAACGACCAGTTTCTCCTGCCTTATTTGAAGCATGTTTACCAGTAGAAAGAAAACGTTTGAAGCAAGCAGTTTGAACGTTTTCAATGTCACTATAGTATTCTACTCCCCATACTTCAGCTCCATATAATAATATTGGGGCTATGTTTCTGTCAAATATATTACATGCAGTGTTGAAAGACAATGCTTATTTGTTTTATCCAGATTCGTGTCGTTTTTGTAATTCTTAGGGAAGCAACTTGGGTCTTGATTCAGTAGTCCGGACTATTCGCAATCCGGACGAATTTACTGAGAAACGCAACTGTCCGGATTAACGAGGCTTCACTGTATATGGAGTTTTTCTAAACAGACTGAAAGTATAATGTAATGCTGTACTTGCTTGAGATGCTAATAATTTACAAGCCATAGGCCAGTTTAGTCTAGATGACAACATGATACCTAAGTATTTATAGTAAATAACTGACTTCAATTGAGAACCCATATAGTAACATTTTTCATTTACGTTTCAATACACCACCATTTCGAAATACAATAATATTTGTCTTTTTTTTTCAAATTGACACGAAGTCCCAAATTTGTTACAAAAGTTGTACAATACATCAAGTTGCTGTTGGAGATCAAGAACTGTATAGGAGAACCTACTGATTGACAGATCGTTCAGTATAGAGGCTTTATATCTGTTTTAGCTTATATCAGTTTTGGTCTTTCTAGATACTTGATCTTGATACTTAATTTAGACCAAGATACCAAAACTAACTAAAAGGCATCAGACTTCCGGATTCCGGTCATGACGTTAACCATCAAATGAAAAAAAAATCAAATCAAATTCATAAAGAAGACGTGTTTTCTAGCAATTGTGATTACGTATTTGAAAATAGAACGTACCTTACAAAAACCAATACTGAATGGCGAGATCTGCCAGTTAAGCGTAAGATGGCGTTCTCTAGCACGTACTTGTTCGGTATCTTCGTGTAACAAGACTGAGGACTTTAAACGAATTACATTTTTGAGAGGCATTTAGAAGTTGAGGCAGTTGGTACGAAACATCTATATTACAAATGGGAGCAAAGATCCTGAAGGTTTTAAACATATTTAAATCACAATACCACCCCATCTCTAGAAAATGATCTCACACGAACACGTGTATACAGCTTGTGAATCTGTAGATGCACACGCGATGAAACTCTTGTGTAATTTTCAAACCTCATGTGAAACCTGGCAGGTAGATTGTTGTATGCCCCTTTTATGTACATGGCATGGGCTTACGTAAACTATCAGGTACCAAACGTTTATAGTACTTCAACATCCGTCGATGGCTCAACCAAAGACAAAATAAACGTGAAGATATAGAATAAGTACGAGTTATCACATTTCTGGTGTCCCCTGCCTTGATATTGCTGGAATTTTGCTAAAAGCGGTCTAAAACTAAACTCACACACCTCATTGGCTGTACCATACGTGAATTTGACGTTGATGTATTGCGTTCCATTATTGGATGTTGGATTATCTTTCAATAGTTCAAGATTTTGTGATCAGCAATCTCACTGACATAATGTCCTAAACGTGCTCCGTGCTTTGTGCTCTCCGGACACCTGATAGGTCGGGCTCTATACGCGACTGATTTTAGGTCCGTTCTATTGGACATGCGGCGATATGAAAACCATTTCTATTTTTATCACGCCACTGAACATTAAAGAATGTAGTCTTGTGCTTCTGCAAAAGGGTGAATCCTTCCTGTGAAATTTTTCATGTTTTCAGGTATTTTCAAATTTCCACAGATGTGGTATCTGTATTGATGTGGAACTCGGTTATGTTTGCTTAATTTGGTGTGTTTAGTATCAGTTCATGTCGATCTATATGTATTACGAAAACATATTTAGTGAGTGATGGAAAACGATCATTAAAATCGTAATCAATAGGACACTACTATTTGTTATTTCAAAAAAGATGAAGATCTATTTTTTTCACAGGAAATGACAAATGTCATATATACAGTGGATGGACGTTCATCCGAGTAAGACTGAATGATTTACACATGTAATAAAGTAAATGTTTCTGAACTTACAGTACTTTCATGCACAACAGTTCTCAAACAGAAACCAAACTCTGGAAACTATGGATTGAAGTAATCTAAAACCCACTATACAGTCATTAATGGACCAGCGGTTTGGAAGTCTCTTCCAGACTCTTCAGGAACGTAAAAGCTCTTAAGGGCAAACACAGAGTGTTGTTGTTAAACATGCATCCATTACACACGCCAAAAAGGCATGTTTACTTCAGTATTGAGTTGATGGAAATGTAAACACAATCAACTATCCTTAATAAATATTATTGACCACCCTGAACGTTTACTCAAATCCAATGTATTACAAAGACCAAAGTGAAGCTTCACTCTGCTATTAGCCTCTACTCAGAGCATGACGTCTTTTGTGATGTGGTGCATGGTTCTCAGCCTGGCAATCCTGGTTGAGGTCTATGCTGCGGATGAACAACCGCAGTGTGAAGCACATGAATATCGCCGGATCAAATTGTTCAAAGGTCACATTGCCAAAGACCCGCCTATGTGGGAAAAAAGAGAAGAATTCATTGCTGCCAAATGCGCGAAGCTGTGCTCAGACGATGAACACTGCATGTCCTTTTTCCACAACGAGTTTACTGGATCATGTCAAGCCCATGCTTTCTTATATACGAATCCGAGTAGGGTGACCCGGAACGATGGATTTCAGTACTTCAGGTTCTACCCAGAGGGATTTCGTAAGTATTGCTTTTACATAGACTGAAACATCGTTCATCGTTCTAATAAGAGAAGTGTCTGTTATTCACAGGGTTTGGTCGCTTTGAACCAGTAGTAATCTGGAGTAATGACGTTTACTGTATCATTATGAAACCAGTGAAGATCCCGTTTAGAACTGGTCTTCAGCAACCCATGCTTGTCGTAAGAGGCGACTAACAGGATCGGGTGGTCAGGCTCGCTAACTTGGTTGACACATGTCATCGTATACCAATTGTGTAGATCGATGCACATGTTGTTGATGACTGGATTGTCTGGTCTAGACTTGATAAGTTACAGGTCAGTGCCATATAGCTGGAATATTGCTGAGTGCGGCGTAAAACTAAACTCACTTCCTCAACTTTACACACTATGTGGATACTTTGACCTTTAAGAAATACCAAAATGGCAAATCTCAACGCAAAAAGAACACACAAAAGCAGCTTATTCATAGAAGCTAACATGTAGTGCTGGTTTTATGGCGTTAACAGGCACTGCCATTTTCAAGATTGTCACATACAATCCTCGTGGCATCAGACAGTGCGGCGTTAAGCACGATTTGGCAATTTGAGACATATTCCAGTTGCCGGCAAAGTACCCTGCAGTCGATGTCACAATTACACGTGAATCACATGTTGACGAGAGAAAGTGCAAAACACAGTGAGCGTATCTTGATATTTATGCATTAAATTTGTAACTGTCCTCATCATATCAACCATTACACTCTTTGAAAGCTTTACTCAGGATATGCCTGATATGCATACGTCATTCATCTGAAACAAATCGAAGCGAGTCTTTCCATTATAGTTCGTAAGTCAACTGAAGTGAATTACATATTATCGATACACGCAAGGCTCAGTAAAACGTAATAGACACATGCTTGTGTTTATCGTTAGCAATGCGAGGAGATTGCCCGACTCATATTCTTCAGGAAACACGTGGGCGAGAAGAGGACCACAACTCTTTCCCATGGATATGCGCACATCTTGCCTTAATGTCTTACCCCTTAGTTTACATACATCGTATCCATGAAGAAGACCAGCATTTCATTCATAGTTTACCCGTGAAGATCCGGGTTAAAACTGGTCTTCAGAAACCCATGCTTGTCGTAAGAGGCGACTAACGGGATCGGGTGGTCAGGCTCGCTGACAATTTCGAGGAACGATGCTCCTGATGTTGATCACAGGATTGTATGGTCTAGGCTCGAATATTTACAGAACGCCGCCATATAGCTCGAATAGTGCGGCTTTAAACAACAAACCCACCAACCATCATTAATATATTTCGTAGAAAAATTACTTTGTTTTACTTTTGTAAAATTTCCTTGAAATCCTGTAGATAACTTTCACATGGTCACCATCTTCATTATCGAATGCCCCATGCATGATGGAATTCAGTTTTTACTTCAGTTTTTCAAAAGGGATAGTGGTGTAAAATATACAATCTATAAATTCAGAGAATATAAATTGGATCTGAGAAGAGAGTTAAGCAAGAGTTTTTTAAACTAGTGTTGTACGGTTCTTAAGAAACGTCCTTGAAACGCTGCCTTAGAAGAGTTAAGTACTTGTGAGCAATGGCGCAGTCGTGTGTATCGACAGTGCAGTGGAGATATCAGCGGACCAGAAATAGACGTAACCTTAGTCATTAGTAAAGCAAACTATGAATTCATTAACACGTGTTACCAGTTTACATTGTGGACATATATGTGTTTTGAAAACACATTTTCGTGTTTTTAGATTTCACAAGTCAAGAGTGACCAGTGTCTATAAATGTATGTTTTCATTTTGATTTTCTTTTCGAAACTGTTTCATTTCAAGGTTTATCCAACTGTGCAGAAATCGGAGCCTACTACAACTACGAACCATCACATAACGGAGTCTACACTATCAACCATCCACAAGGACCATTTCAGGCCTACTGTAATTTTCCTGACAACATCAACAACTACGCATGGACGGTACGGACCCATTTGACTTTTCACTTCTCCATTGATCAATCCCTAATAGAATGAATATGATATTTTAGTCCCTTGCGATTCATCTGTTTGGGTTATCTCGATCAGATCGGTTCTATATGACATTTGATTAGAAGTTGTGTATAATCATGCCAAGGAGTATTATTGATAAGTACCACGCTACCAAACTGTGACACCTATCCTCCAAACTCTTCACTGGCTTCCTGTATCAAGCAGAATATCAATACAAACTTCTTCTTCTTACACACAGCTGCATCTATGAAAACATGTTTTCTCAATATCGTAAAAGCCGCATTCATCTCCATGTTCGAAGCCGATTGCTCCGCTCGTCAAACTCCCTACTGCTTACACAGCCTCACGTCAAAACAGCCATGGGATCAAGAGCGTTCTCTGCTGCAGACCCCTATCTCATTCTACCACTCGCCCTAAAAGAAATAGAATCTGCTAACGCTTTCAAAACTGCCCTCAAAACTCATCTGTTCAAACTCTCTTTTCCATAGATATTGTTTACAATCTTTTCTCATCATAGCGCCATTGAGCAATATGTTTTGGAAATAGGCGCTCTATAAATCAATTATTATTATTACTATTTGCTCATTTATTCTATGGTACGGAATTACCCTTGTACTTATCATTACCCGCTGTCATCTCTGCTGCATCAGGAACAATGTTCAGCACCTCACACTGAAGAATGTTACACTTTGATTCTCAAGTTGGGACTTACAGCTGACCAGGAATCTGTCCATAATGAAGTCAGTGTGACACCTAGAGAGAACAAAGCAATGTAATTTAATTAACAACCGTCTATAGTTTATACATTATTAACAACAGAGGTATTACAGCAGTATGATACAAAAGCAGTGATTATAACAATAAATACAATGATTGTAATTGTCACCTAACTGTACTGCCCAAGTATCCAGGGTAATATTGATCTCCACAGAATTGTTGTTCACCAATCAGAAAATGGGTACCCGGTGGGATAAGTCATGTGGCCATGAACCTTCTAGCGCCTCAGATGCAACTCCGGTTATCTGGGGTAATAATAATCAGCCTTTGTTATGCGCCGTTGAACAGCTTCGAGTTGGATATCAGGCACCACAGAAATCAATTATTTATGATTATTGTCACTGAACTTCATGTGATATGAGGATAGGCAAGATTTTGCTCCTTTTACATATCAGTGAAAAAGACTCCAGGAGATTCTCCAACTCCCTAATCAGAATATAGCGGAGATGCCCTTAACTTTCTACTACTCTGTAGTAGCTTCCAGAGTTGTGCTTAAATACAGCTGACTACTGTACCCTGGTTCCCAATGGTGAGGTCGTCGTGGAGGATACAATGACGCGGATGGTGTTATGAAGAGTAATATTATTCAGCTGGTTAAACTGTTGGACAGCCAGTATATATTCAGTCGCATATATTTATTTGCAGGTGATTCAATACCGGTACGATGGGTCGGAAGGATTCGATCGCACCTGGGACGAGTACAAAGAAGGATTTGGTGACCTTAACAAGGAGTTTTGGTTAGGTAAGAAGCAGCCGGAATCAATATGTTTGTAGTCAATTCGATAACCATATGCAGAATTTAGTGGGTGTTTGGTGGTGTTTTCTATGACAAAATACGTCAGTGAGGACGGGTATCACAATAACCAGGAAACACGATTATAATATCATTGTTAGATCTTGACATTTTTCGGAAGTGTAGATCACTTTATCACATTGCATATTAGCGCACTCCAGAATAAACCCATCGAGTGTTCAAATCACAGTTATTACTATTTCCTGTCTGCACCATGATTTTGATCATTGTTGTTTTCATAAGGCTGTCAACATCTATTGCATGGCAAAGAAGTTAGTTAGTGGTCTCTGCACGATGCTACTAGCACCACAGCAGACTGTGCAAATGGTGCCTTTAGCACGACTGAACCCTATCTTGTGGTCGTCATTGTGTAGTGGACTGTTGGCTTTGAATCATTTTAAGGATATCACCCCCAATGTCATATACTTATCAATTACAACTGCAGGTGGCTTTGCACATTGTCACCGATTTGGTTTAAGTTGACTGTGATGGTCATATTCCAGGAGGTGAGGGTATTTTTGACGAAGTAGTCTTCGTTGTCGATGATTCTTTTAGGTGCCGATATGTGTTGTTCCAGACACTAAATACTTGTTGGCCTGCTGACGTTTCGACAACAGTGCAGCATGCATTGCAACCTTCCTTTAGGCCTTCGTGTAGCTGCCAAGCCAAAATACCACGTGGGGCCGATATGTGTTGTTCCAGACACTAAATACTTGTTGGCCTGCTGACGACAACAGTGCAGGGCATTGCATCAGGCCTTCGTGTAGCTGCTACCACGTAGGGGCATCAACTTGAAATGATCAACTTGAAAGTCTAAACATACCATTTGTTACGACCATAAAATAGTCCTTTTTCATCCATTTTGAGCCTTGAGTCCTATACCAGAGGGCGGCGCCTCTTGGGCCAACCTGTCAAGTTTGCCCTCCGGTTCATTTGTCTTCAGGGATCTGTCTAGGGCAGAACCAGTCTGACTTGTAACCTGTTTGGCAATAATGGCTACCCACCTAACACTGTTAACGTCATGATACAACGTTGTCACAACATTAGTAATACGTCATTTCATAACGTTATATCACAACGTGGGATGGTTGTACATTGGTAACGTCATGATACAACGTTGTCACAACATTAGTAATACGTCATTTCATAACGTTATATCACAACGTGGGATGGTTGTACATTGGTAACGTCATGATACAACGTTGTCACAACATTAGTAATACGTCATTTCATAACGTTATATCACAACGTGGGATGGTTGTACACTGTTAACGTCATGATACAACGTTGTCACAACATTAGTAATACGTCATTTCATAACGTTATATCACAACGTGGGATGGTTGTACATTGGTAACGTCATGATACAACGTTGTCACAACATTAGTAATACGTCATTTCATAACGTTATATCACAACGTGGGTGGTTGTACACTGTTAACGTCATGATACAACTTTGTCACAACATTAGTAATACGTCATTTCATAACGTTATATCACAACGTGGGGTGGTTGTACACTGTTAACGTCATGATACAACATTGTCACAACATTAGTAATACGTCATTTCATAACGTTATATCACAACGTGGGATGGTTGTACATTGGTAACGTCATGATACAACGTTGTCACAACATTAGTAATACGTCATTTCATAACGTTATATCACAACGTGGGATGGTTGTACACTGTTAACGTCATGATACAACGTTGTCACAACATTAGCAATACTTCATTTCATAACGTTATTTCATAACGTGGGGTGGTTGTACACTGTTAACGTCATGATACAACGTTGTCACAACATTAGTAATACGTCATTTCATAACGTTATATCACAACGTGGGATGGTTGTACATTGGTAACGTCATGATACAACGTTGTCACAACATTAGTTACAGCAATATTACACATCGTGTATCGACATTGACACAACGTTGTTTCATCGTTTCTGAAACGTTGTTGCGACGTAAACTGTCTCATTTCCGAAAATTGTAAGAACAAACGTGTTTATCGAATTATTCTTACTTTCTGCGGAAAACAAGACCATAGTGCATTATTACCTATCATATTACACTTTGTGATTTCCATCCCATAAATATACTGAAATCACAGTAACGTAATTTCCATTCTTTCTGACAACGTTAATATCACGTCACTGTGCAACGTCATGTCAAAACGTAATAACAAATTTGCAAATTTACGTAGAGTAAACGTTATGCTTTGGGCTCCTTATAACAGCGTTTCTTATAATTTGGTGTCACGACGGAGTTTTCATTAAAACTTTTCATTTAGAAATTCTTTCTTCACTATTCAGCTACAGCACCAGAAAACACACGACCAAACAACACGCACATTGAAGTGAATTTCTGCTTTGTTTCTTATGTAGTGTTCTCTACTGAGGAAACTATTCAACTATGAACGTTAAACAGAACGATAAAACAAAATACGTTCCGACCGCGTATATTACGCAACTTTACCATTTGGCCCGTTGTTGGCAAAACCTCTGGTGGCGTCGCGGAAATTTTATTCAAGGGACGCTACTCCAAACTGGTAGCCTTTCATAGAGCGCTCTGTGGTGTGTACACCTCTCTTCAAGCAGACGCGGCGACATGATCACAAGCTTGGCCTTCGGGGTACAGGTCTCCTCGAATATATAGCGGTAAGTGTTTCATTTTATGTTTTTATTATGTTCAACTTTATTTCCGAACTGTGCCCACTCATTTAGTTGGTCGTGATCGGGAGAGATGTAAGTTCCACGTGATGCTCGCTGCGCCGCGCGTAAATACGTTGCAGTGTACACATGGGTTCGAATCACTGTTTGAACTATATTTATTTTTTTAAATGAAACTATAGACTGTTGCAATCATATATTGTTTTTATATGTTATGAATAAGGTATATTTCAAATTTCAAATTTGAACGAAATCGACGAAGAAATATAGATTTTAATAAAATTCTACTGCTACACTATTGTATGAAATACACAAGGGGTGACACTCCCGATGCTAAAAACCTCATCGAAAACCAGGCAGCCCGATTATTTCCACGTGTGCAATTATTGCGGGAAATATTAAAATTATGCTTTTCCGCCTGGGTGAAAATTCACTGCTAAAAGCCGAACCGCGAGTTCATCTTTTGATCACCGAAGAGTGGACGTGGGGTGCGTTATTGTGTATACGAAGCAATTTATGATCAACAGTGTGAGCGATGGTTAACACAAACGTTGCGCATAACATTGGATTAATTAAACTGGGTACAATGTGGTTATGGAATCATGTTCAGTTATGGGAAATATATTCAGTTAACACGACTGTATTGTTGTTTCGACTTTTCCTGATGTTATCTAAGATATCATATTTTTAAGATTTCCCCAACATCCAAATCATTACAATACATGTATATTTATCCCCCGCCGCGCGTTAAGCGCGAAGCGGGGGATATAGTATTAGGCTCCGTCCGTCCGTACGTACGTAGGTACGTCCGTCCGAATTGGAATATCTTAAGAACCGTTGGCTGGATTCTGTTCATATTTGGTATCTAGGTTCAACACAGTACAAGAAAGGCCCCAGTCAGGTTTGGTGACCTTGACCTTCATTTCAAGGTCACAAGGGGACTTTAACGTTTTACCCTTGTCAGCGAGATATCTTAAGAACCGTTCACTGGATTTTCTTCATATTCAACACCAAGCTTTATCTAGTTTCTTTAATATTGTATTCTATATTTGAAAAACCAGTTTCATTAGAAAGTGACACACAATAAAAAGCTAAATGTACTGCTTTAGATACTATTTTCTACAACTGACACCAGTGACATACTGTTAGTAAATGGGATTTATAATTATTCGTTAAATTAAGAATGTGATCGCTTGTGGTTTCTGTGCAGGTGATGCTTACTTGAAGTACAGAACAGAGAAAAGTGAAGATTCCAACGACCGTACCCACAATAAGGGTATGCACAATACAATAATAAATAGAAACATCTTCCGGAATGAAAATGTCGAAATATATACTTTTTTTTAATTCAAATCAGTGGGTTTTTATGCTCCTACGATCCAATGACACCAGACATCTCATTATTACCAATGTCTGTTTATATAAAAATTAGATGCCCATGTCATTAGATGTTTATGTTATTGTTTTTTCAGAGGCCAAGGCACAAAGACAGACCTTGGTTTCAGATGAAGATCTCCTTTAATTATTTCTTCCCCGTCATTATTTGAGGACTGAAAATATAATAATCCCCTGCCACTCAGTCCAATTTCTAACTTGTAATTTAATAAATAAATAAAGGTAATCTGAACCAGAATTATATGTTGTTCATTATGTGGCTGTTACAATCAAAGTTTAACTGATCCAGAAAATGGATTGTGGGACATCAGATGCATAGATTATTTTGCAGCTCCCACTCTTGCCCTCAGTGTGAACTTTCTGGGGTAAGGTCAGGAAAAAACATGTCTCACAACACTGTGTTGGGCTTTTTTGTAGGGCCTGGTGTCTGATTGGTATAAATCAATTATGCCTTGAAAATTGTTTTGAAATATGAATAATACATTAACTTATTACTGAGAGGGTACGTAAGTCCAAAAAGCTTTCAAAGTAAAATTTTCGCAAACCAAGTTTTTAAACGTAGTATTTTTTCTTGTAAATTTTGGGCTCAATTATCCTACAATCGCCAGCGGCTGAAGGGATGGTGTAAATCCAGCTAGGGTCCATGCAAGATAGCAAGGGTACTGTAAGTCCCCATGGTCCCTAGTATGGTGATCTACCTTCAGTTGTTGGCGATCTATAGCCTGTTTTTATATTGTATTGTCCACTTAGTGCTATCAGTTTTAACTTCCCACACTAGTTTTAGTTCTAATTGTGATATTCTAGTTGTTTTACTGTCCTTCGTCGACAGGTTTTTATCATATACATATATTCCATTTCAATGTCAAATATGTTCTCGTCACGATATGGCTGAGACATTGCCGATGTGACGTTAAATATTAACTCACTCACTCACTCATTAACTAATTGCATTCATTTTTCTCGAGCCAACATCAAGCCATCCAGAGGTGTCAAGCCAAGACAGGGAGAGCGCATTTAGTTGTGTGGCTGTTTCATGGATAGAGCCCAAAGTGAATACAATTTGAAGAATGTATCGCTTGTTATGAGATAGCATTGTTGGATTTGTACAAACAGACGTTTATCCAACATTAGGCCAACGAGTTCTGTGGATTCGTATTTATGTTGTCACACTGTTTTGGCCTAATCTTGGGATACCCCAGAAACCATTGTCTAAACATCGTTGGTCAACGTCAGAATGGTATCTGGGGTTTCACAACGTCAGGCGTCAGTGACGTGACAACGTTAATATGTATCCACAGAATAACGTTGTATGGACGTACTATCATTACGTCCCCACAACTTAAAATGCAACGTTATCACAACGTACTTATAACGTTCCCATAACATTGTGAAAATGACGTATCACAACGTCATGTCATAACGTTGTGACAACATAAATCGGAGTCCATTACGTTGTGCAGACGTAATATCATAATGTTTCAACAATGGTAACATAACGTAATGACAACGCGAAATTGTTAGCTGGACACCTGTGTCCATTTTGCTGGAGTTCAGCATCCCTGTAGCGCTAGTGTTTATGGTTGGTTTCCACTACAGCACCGTCCCTGTTGACACTCCATGGCAGGTGGGGGAAGGCCTGTTCTCTCAATATGGCTACCCCACAATAAGCTGGTTCTCGATCTAAACCTAAGAGAAGGTACATATACTGATCACGGCCACGATTTCTTTTGGTAGAAGGTGACCACATGTTCTTGTCAAGCTCATGCCCCTGATACGTGAAGCAAAATAAAATTCTTACAGCCAAGTACTTCTTTTATAGAAGCAAAGGAAGTAGTAGAGGAGAACTCATCCATTCCCCTGCAGTTTCTTCTTCACTTTGGAAGGTTGATCATGGATGCCCAACGGCAATTAACTGGATCACTGATGTCTAGACCATTCTAAATGACATTGATGCTGAACTCCCGTCTATATTTAGAGGACAGAATGCTGATGTTTTTAATAATCTGATTGATGTATTCGTAGTGAGTACTGGTGTTACTATTGTCACAATAAAGCTGAAATATTGAATTTAAATTTTAACTCGCTCATTCACCAAACCAAAATTGGACGTTAAAACAAAGCAGCATATACGTCTCACCTGGGTACTGACATTTTATTAATACAACCGCCCACTGAAGAAGGATAGCACCAGGCACAATTTGATTTTATGTTGCAGGGAATGAGAAGATATGGCGTTTGACCGAAGAAGGAAGTACTTCATTACTCATACAGATATGGGACTCTCAAAAAAACAAGATGGAAGGCGTTTTACAAGGATTTCTCCATAGGGAACTCGTCCATGAACTACGCTTTGCAGACAGGGTGGTACACCGGTACTGCAGGTAGCTAACATGGAACATTAAAGCTTGTCTTGTTTACAGTTTGCAGAATAGAATAGGCAGTAGTATTATGTTGTGTTATAGTTGACCCAGGAACTAAGGGATGAATAGGCCAGAGTACAGATTCAAAGTATTTAACCCGCATGTAGCAGGCTGAACCCGTAAAGATCCAGGATAGAATTGGTAAGAGGCGACTGACGCGACCGGGTGGTCAGTCTGGCTGACTTGGTTGACTGACTGACTGACTGAGTTTAGTTTTACGCCGCTTTTAGCAATATTCCAGCAATATCACGGCGGGGGACACCAGTAATGGGCTTCACACATCGTGCCCATGTGGGGAATCGAACCCGGGTCTTCGGCGTGACGAGCCAACGCTTTAACCACTAGGCTACCCCACCGCCCCACTTGGTTGACACATGTCATCGTATCCCAACCGGGTAGATCGATGCTTATGATGTTGATCACTGGACTGTCTGGTCCAGACTCGATTATTTCCAGACAGCTACTAGGATATTGCACACTGCAACGTTAACTATCATAAACGGAACTGGGATACCTGTCGGCATTTATTAAACTAGTGATTACAGCTAAATGTAGCGAAGTGTGATTGATTGATAAACTCAACACTCTTCCGTTGTGTATTGTGAGGTGGGGTAGCCTAGTGGTTAATGCGTCCGCTCGTCACCGGGTTCGATTCCCCACATGGGTACAATGTGTGAAGCCCATTTCTGGTGTCACCCGCCGTGATATTGCTAGAATATTGCTAAAAGCGGCGTAATGCATATATCTTCTTCTTTGATTTAAGGGAATGGATTGGAATGTCTCAAGGGTCTGCCCTTCTCGGTCTGTGACACTGACCTCGATGCAAACTCCTCACACTGTACGGATCTTAGCGGAGGCGGCTGGTGGTTCGGATCCTGCAGCAAGGTTAACCTGAACGGCCTATACAGCAACGCAGGGGGCAATATATCCTGGATGTCACTGCATACACTGATGAAGACCAAAATGAAACTAGTTCATTACAGATGACATACTTTCCGGTACCTTCATAAGCTTATGCATAACGTTGTGTACTGCTAAAAATAATTCTTTCTATATCCCCGATGAAGATGGAACACCCATCTTCCTCAAATGAGCTGGAAATTATCATCATCCTAACGACCGATCGTTCCTAGATTGAGCACTGTGCATCACTATGGTAAAATGTACTATATAGGAATTAAACGATGAAATGTCATAATGGTCATGTTTGTGAGCTGGGTTTGTAGCAAGTGGCCAAATAGTGGACAGTCACTCAATACTGCCACTTTACCTTTATTTACATCGGTGCAATTTTGTAGCAAAAAAGTAATTTTAAGCGCACTTTTCATCTTTGGTAAGAGGCGACTAGCGGGATCGGGTGGTCAAAGCGCGGTGACGTGGTTGACATATGTCATCGGTTCCCAATTGCGTAGATCGATGCTTATAGCCCATTTCTGGTGTCACCCGCCGTGATATTGCTAGAATATTGCTAAAAGCGGCGTAATGCATATATCTTCTTCTTTGATTTAAGGGAATGGATTGGAATGTCTCATGGGTCTGCCCTTCTCGGTCTGTGACACTGACCTCGATGCAAACTCCTCACACTGTACGGATCTTAGCGGAGGCGGCTGGTGGTTCGGATCCTGCAGCAAGGTTAACCTGAACGGCCTATACAGCAACGCAGGGGGCAATATATCCTGGATGTCACTGCATACACTGATGAAGACCAAAATGAAACTAGTTCATTACAGATGACATACTTTCCGGTACCTTCATAAGCTTATGCATAACGTTGTGTACTGCTAAAAATAATTCTTTCTATATCCCCGATGAAGATGGAACACTCATCTTCCTCGTATGAGCTGGATGTTATCATCATCCTAACGACCGATCGTTCCTAGATTGAGCACTGTGCATCACTATGGTAAAATGTACTATATAGGAATTAAACGATGAAATGTCATAATGGTCATGTTTGTGAGCTGGGTTTGTAGCAAGTGGCCAAATCGTGGACAGTCACTCAATACTGCCCCTTTACCTTTATTTACATCGGTGCAATTTTGTAGCAAAAAAGTAATTTTAAGCGCACTTTTTATCTTTGGTAAGAGGCGACTAGCGGGATCGGGTGGTCAAAGCGCGGTGACGTGGTTGACATATGTCATCGGTTCCCAATTGCGTAGATCGATGCTCATGCCAGATAAGGAACAAACTTTATGGATGAACAACTTCTTCATTGTTCATCCATACATTTTGTTCCTTATCTGATTCACCAACTTCTAAACATGCCACTCAACAAGATATTCATGCCGTTGATCACTGGATTGTCTGGCCCAGACTCGATTATTTACAGACAGCCGCCATATAGCTGGAATATTGCTGAGTGCGGCGGAAAACTAAACTCACTCACTCACTTTTTATTTGTGCTTCGATTGTATTTTATCGTTACTGTCAGTACCTTTCAAACATAAACGATTCCTACACTATCTGCAATACCAATATGTTTTACCATCTATACAAATTCACTGTGGATTTCTACAGTATCTGCAACACCAATATGTTTTATCATCTATACAAATTCACTGTGGATTTCTACACTATCTGCAACACCAATGTGTTTCACAATCCATACACGTTAAGTCCAACATTCCACATTTTCTTTCCAGCACACATTCCTACACTATCTGCAACACTAATATGTTTTATCATCTATACAAATTCACTGTAGATT